TTGTAGCCCTTGTACTTGCAGCTGTACGTGCGGAGAATCTGGACGTCGTGCGTGCCGGCGGAAGCATCGACCTGGACTTGCGACAAGATGTCGGTTGGCGGCAACGCCTTCTTCGGTACGTTCCACGCATCACTGATCTTGACGGGCGACTTGACGAGCGGCCAGCCGTACGGTTTGCCCGGGTACACGGGGTCGTTCCACCGGTCCAAAAAGTTGTGGAGCACGTCTTTCGTCGCAGGCCCGTGCAGACGCGCATGGACATCGACCCAGCCGTCGTTGGCGCCGTTGATGCCGGTGCGCTTCCGGAGCGCGGTCTCGTTGTGGTACTTGGTGTCCCACCGGTCGAGCGACTGGTCGAGGCCGCCAACGTAGCTCACTATGTCGCGGTTGCGCGTGAGAATGAGGCTCTTTTGGTGGTGCGACCCCGTCGGCTTGTTGATGCGGTCGTCGGTCATGAGCTGGACATTCTGGCAGTTGCTGCTGTTGAGCGTGTTCATCCACGAAAACATATCGGTGACCTTGCCGAGCTCGACGAGGTTTTCCCACACGAGGCCGTGCGCGTGGAGGTTGTTGGTGGCAATGGCCTTGGCCCACGTCTTTTTGAACGTCACGGACGGGTCGATCTGCGGAAGGTACGGAATATCGTGCAGTGTCCAGCCCGAAAAGTAGGCCTTGTTCGCCATGCTAATGTCCTTGTGCATCGACGCAAACGCGGCGCTCGTGTCGGCAAAGATGTTGACGCGGTTGCCCGACGTCGAGACGGCGAGGCGGTCCCGACGCTCGCCACCGCGGCTCTTTGTGATGTCGTCCTCCGAGAGGAACCAGTCTTTCGACGATAGCAGCGGCTGCTTGAGCGGTATGTCCGAGCCGTCCGAGAGCGTGGTGGGGTTTTGGGGCAGCGGTCGGCAGCCGCGGAAGAGCTTGTACTCGCAGAGGTTGCATGGCTGGCACATGCACCAGTTCTTGAACGTACTGCGCCACGACGGGTCCCGCGTGCACGTGACGCTATCCGCGTCGACTTGGGCGGCCAGCAAAAGCAGTGGCAGACTCAACGATGTGTAGATGGCGACCATTGCGGTGCTTGGCCAAATGAAAAGTGGCTTGCAGCAATGATCACTGGCGCTAAAGGCAGACTCATACACACCCAAGTGCAATGGACGGTGCCACAAGGCGTCACGCAGAGATGCTGGCTGCAAGTAGATAACGTGCGTGCGTGTCGCCGTCCAAAGAGACGGTCCCATGGCCACATAGCCAGTCGGATGATCTGTAATAGGTCGGAATCAAAACATCTGTGTTGCACGGTACACAATTGCTGTACTGTACTTGATGCTACGGGGGACGATCGTTGTGCAGTCCACTCCGGTCGTATCGCTTGCTGACAAACCAATGCGCAATCTGCGTAAGTGCCAAAATGCACTTTGTTTGATGGAGCGCACGTGCCGGTCCACCCGTCTTTGAGTGGTCGAAAAGTGTCTTGAAATCGGTGTGCAATGCAGACACTGGGTTGAATCAGATCAACTATTCTGCGCATATGCAGCACCGTACAGCACGCCGTACAGTTTGCATTGCCGTTGATTGCGGACGGAGAGATGCTCGCGGAGTGTCAAGGCCGCCCTTTGCAAGGTCGGTGCGCACGTGCCACGCATTGCACTTGGGCTACAGAGTTGTGTGGACCACCCTGCGTCTTGCAGCGGAAGACAACTCTGCCAGCGGCAGGCTCTTGACCAGAGTCCGAAGTGCACGCAAATGGTGATGGCCGCGCCTGCAATTGTACGGACCGTGCGTGCCAGAGGTACTTCTGCGACTCGGTGCACGTGCCAACTCGGTTCTTATTGTACGGATTGTGGTTGTCGGTTGTGCTACAAGGGATGCAGCCACGTGTGCTGCAGAGTTTACGAGCACAAGACCACGCTCCATCGGTTTGACTACCCTACTTGCTTTGCCTCCACCCAACGAGTCGCAGCTTGTGGGTCACGCGCTGAGCGTTGGGAGATGCTGATGAAAGCGCTGTCGCGTGTAAGGAAGAACATGGACTGCTTGGCACGTCCTTTGTCCCTATCTACATTTCCCGCGGTAGTCTATGCGGTAGTCTAGGCGGTCATGGCCGCTACGGCGGCTGTGGCTACAG